GTCATCTATCAATCTATCAATCCTCTATCTATCATCTACCAATCATCGATCATCATCTCTCCATCCATCTCTCTCTCTGTCATCTATCAGTCATTTATCTATCATCTGTCTACCTACCTACCTAGCTATCTGTCTAGATATCTGCCTGTGGGTCTATCTAGGTATTTATTTAGATCCTATGGGCTCTGTTTCTCTGGAGACCCCTGACTAATACAGAGAGGTATATCTCTCTCACGGAGAGTTCCCATAAGCCCGTCCCCCACCCAGGCACGGCCTCCCCCACCATCAGCCTCCCCACCGGCGGGGACGTTTGTTGCAGTGGATGAACCTACACTGACACGTCATCGTCGTCATTGAGAGCCCATCGTTGCCACGAGGGTTCACTCTTGGTGTTGCCCATTCTACGGGTTTGGACAAACGCTTGATGCCCTGTGTCCCCCATTACGCTATCCTACAAGATAGTTTCACGGCCCTAAAATATCCTGTGCCGTGCCTGCTCCTTCCCCAACTGCTGACACCCATGGATCTCTTTCCTGTCCCCACACTTTTGCCTTTTCCGGGACATCCTAGAGCTGGAATCACACAGGATGTCTATTCTTCATCATCAACCGTGTCGCGCAGAAGGGGAGACGCAGCCCGCCCTGGTCGTTGGAGGCGTCCTCTGCCCGGTGGCCTGTGCACCTCTTGTCTCTCTTGCTTTGGGGGGACTTGTCATGGCTCTTGGCGGTGGCCCACAAGACGCACGCTCATCTGGTGGAGTGGGGCCCACTGGCCACCTCCCCCTGCCATCCGTCGTGGGGTCCGTGCCTTGTCTGCCATCTGCACGACTTGGTCCCGTTGTGGAGACGCCGGCCCGAGGAGGATGTGACATCCTCCGGCTGCAGGAAGAGCAGTCATCGCGCCGTTGCACCATCTTGGTTTGGCATCTGTCCGGCCCGAGATCCCGGCTCCCTTCTCTCCAGCTTGCTGGAGGCGATTGCTCAGCTCACAGAGGACTTCCCTCCCTTTCATCCGGGTCCCAGCTCCACGGGACGGCCATCGGCACCTAGTTGGGGTTTTTTGTTGCACGAGACCTTTTATCCTTTGTGCCAGTTAATTTTTTTTTTAATTATTTTATTGAGGTCATAATGGTTTATAACATGGTGTAATTTCAGCTGTGCATCATCTGTCAGTTTCTGTGTAGACGGCATCACGCTCACCACCAATAGCCTGGTTTTTATCCATCACCACAGGCCCGTGCCCCTTTCTCCCTTTTGCCCGCCCTCCGCCTGGTCACCACCCATCTGTTCTCTTGGGTCCATGTGTCTGTTTAGCTTCCACAGATGAGTGGAATCATGTGACGTTGGTCTTTCTCTGTCTGGCTTATTTCACTTAACGTCGTACCCTCCAGGTCCATCCGTGTTGTGAAGGGGACAATTTTGTCTTTTTTCTGGCTGAGTAGTATTCCATTTATATATATACCACATCTTTATCCAATCTTCAGTCAATGGGCACTTGGGTTGCTTCCACGTCTCGGCTGTGGTGAATAATGCTGCCGTGCACAGAGGGGTGCAAACATCTTTTCAAATTAGTGTTTTCATGTTCTTTGTGTCAATATCCAGAAATGGCATAGCCGGATCGGATTACTATTTTGAGATTTTTGAGGAATCTCCCTGCTGTTTTGCACAGTGGCTGCACCCGTTTGCGTTCCCACCGGCAGTGGATGCAGGTTCCCTTCTCTCCAACATTTGCTATTTTCTATCTGGGTGATTATCGCCGTTCTAATGGGTGTTAAGTGATACCTCCTTGTGGTTTTGATTTGCGTTTCCCCCGATAATTAGTCGCGTTGAACATCTTTTCACGGGCCGGTCGGCCATTTGTCTATCTTCTTTGGAGAAAAACATCTGTTCCTCTCCTCTGCCCATTTTTCGATCGGGTTTTTTTTTCTTTTTTTTTTTTTAAATCTCATGGTGGTTGAGTTCTAGGGCCCGTGTCCAACTCGCCTCCTAGGAAGAAAGGGAGATGAATTGAGCGTGCGAGCGTCCGGTTGTCCTGGGGCGTCCCGGGGGGGTTTCTCTGCAGTGGTGTGGACCCCGTCTGCGTAGGCGTGAAATGAGAGACATCCTGGGAGCAGGCAGTGCGCATTCACCGTCATAAGGTCCAGTCACGTGCTGCATCGTGGCGTTTCGGTCCACGACAGGCCGTGTAGACAGTGGTGGTCCCGTACATCAGTGGCAGACAGCCTAGGTGTGTCGTCGGCTGTTCCATCCAGGTCTGTGTAAGTGGACTGTGGTGTTCAGAGCTAATCTTCCTCAAAAGAAAAAAAAAAGAAATGCCATCCCCTAAGGACGCGCTTGTCGGAACGCGTCCCCACTGTCACCAAACGCACAGCCGCCCATCCCGTCTCAGGAATCCGTGAGCTCCTTTGGAATATTACTTCTGGCTCGTGGTTCTCGTGTCCTTACTCCCACTGCGGAGTTTTCCGCCACCAGCTCTTAAAAGACGCCCCGCCTCTCTCCTCCTGCTGGGAGGCCCGTGCTGTGCATCCTGGACCACTCCATACTGTCTGCTCTTGGAAGCTCTGCTTTTATTTTTTCCCCCTTTTTTTTTAAAAAAAATAGTCTCTTTAGCGGCCAGCCAGGTGGCGTAGTGGTTAAGTTCACACGTTAGGCTTTGGTGGTCCGGGGTCAGCAGGTTCGGATCCCGGGTGTGGACCTAGCACCGCTCGTCAAGCCACGCTGTGGTGGCGTCCCACATAAAATAAAGGAAGGTGGGCACAGATGTGAGCTCAGGGCCAGTCTTCCTCAAGTGAAAAGAGGAGGATTGGCAACAGATGTGAGCTCAGGGCCGGTCTTCCTCACATACATACACAAAATTCTCTTGTATTTTAGCTAATTTTCTTTTTTTTTGAGGAAGATTGGCTCTGAACTAACTGCTGCCAATCCTCTTCTTTTTGCTGAGGAAGACTGGCCCTGAGCTAACATCCGTGCCCATCTTCCTCTACTTTATACGTGGGACGCCCACCACAGCATGGCTTGACAAGTGGTGCCATGTCCGCACCCAAGATCTGAACCGGTGAACCCTGCTGTGCCACTGGGCCGGCCCCTAGAGTAATTTCTATTGACCTAAACTTTCCTTGTTTTTTTTTTTTTGCCTCAATTGGGTTGAGTCTGCTAATGAGCTGTGGAAAGAATTCTTTAGCTCTGGTATCAATTTTTTTATGTTTACTTCTAGCATTTATTTACACATGTTAGATACTTAATATTTAAATATATTACACATTTTATATATTTGTATTAAAATAAAAGTATTTATTTTTATATTACTCATTTTATTAAATAATGCGTTACATTTATTTTATTTATTTTCACATATTGAAATAAATGTATAAAATATTTAGCGTTTCAAATATATAAATATATTTTTTACATATGTAAAATAAAATATGTTTATAAATATTTAAGTGTATTTATAATATAAATATTTATTACATTTAAATCAAATATTTAAGTAGAAATATGTATTTCATTTATATTTGCATAAATACATTTTATTACATATTATATTTTATAATATATTTGTTACACACATATATATATTTTACTTTATTTTCACTCTTAGCAGGGCTGTGAAAAAATTCCTGGGCAGTGAGTGTGCTGTCAACCGACAAAGTCTAGGGACCTCTCTTCTAGCCTATTATTATTATCTATTTTATTTTATTTTTTAAACATTTTATTCCTTTCAAGATGGATTATTAGGCGATCTCTCCATATTAGATTTCATCTTAGCTTTTTTTTTTTTTTTTGAGTTTTGGTGAGGAAGATTGGTCCTGAGCAAACATCTGTTCCTAATCTCCCTCTTTTTGCTTCTGTCCTCCCCAGAGCCCCAGCGCACAGTTGTGTATCCTAATTCTGGGACATTCTAGGTCTTTGATGTGGGACGATGCCACAGCATGGCTTGATGACTGATGTGTAGGTCTGGGCCCAGGATCCGAACCAGTGAACCCTGGGCTGCCGAAGCAGAGCGTGCAAACTTAACCTCTCAGCTGTGGGGCCGGCCCCTAGTCTGTGATGTTTTAACTGTTAGGTTTTACCCCTTCGCCCTGCCTTGAGGGGAACCATCAGCACGGCTCATCTTCTTCTTGGTAATCCTGGGAGCTGTAGGATGGTCCCTCCAGGTAGAGACTTGAGGGCGCATCTGGCCTCATGGTATACAGTCGGCGCTGCACAGCGCTTACGATGCATTCCGAACAGGTCCCCCTGCCTTTCCAGGAGGGACAGTGGATGCCCAGAGGATGAGACGTGAAGCTGTGATGCGCACTGTGCAGAAGCCCATTGGGAAGTGGGGGCCTCGGTCACCCCGTTGGGACACCCACGCTCCTCCCCTCGCTCTTGGACTTTGGGTCCTCCCCATCTCTCGTCTGTAAGTGGAAGACTGAACTGGATCTTCTCCTTCCCTGGGGCGCCATCTTGGAATGCTTCCACACGACCTCAATACCCTAAGGGAACAGTGTTGTCGTGAATGCTGTGCGTCTTCCCAGGAACCAAACCCAAAGGAGGGTGGGAATCCCTTTGAACAGAATCAAGCCTCGGTGTCTGGAAACTTTGTGGGGAGCCTGACGGAATCATTTGGGGTCCTTATGGTGTTGTCCCAGGGGATGGACACGCTCTTTCTGATGGACGCTGTGCTGGGAAACATGGATCTCAGGACCGGGGCGGGAGTGTCCTCGGAGCCTCTGGGGAACTGTGGGTGTCTCAGCATCCTTGTCAGGGTTTTCCTTTCTACGGTTCTTTTTTCGTTTGATGAACCAGAATGCCTGACTGCGGTGGTGGGTGCCGATTGAAAGGAGGCGTGTGTTGTCCTCACTTATTGGAAGGATTTTCTAACAAGTGCATCCAACCCGGCCCCTGGCCACTTGGGTGTATTTTTATACAAGCAGTTATTTTGGCCAACTTTCTCTCTAGGGGGTTCGTTTTTTTTCTTGATTTTTAAGAACTCTTTACATATTAGGAAAATAGCCCTTTGATAACAGTTGCAGATTTTCTCCTCGTTCATCATTTATTTTTGACTTTGCTTGTGGTTTCCTGTTTTGCCTTGTAAAACGTTCTTTAGTGGTGAAATTTATCTACTTATTCTCAATTTCGACTTAAAATTAGGAAGGTGTTTGTTACTCTGAGGTTAAGAATAAATTTGTTCCTGCTTTCCTCTAATATTTTCGCTGTTTAACTTCTTTCCCTTTATTTTGAGGGGTGCTGGGAGGTATGGGTGTCGTTTTATTTTTTTCCATAGATCTATTTAGGTATCTCAACACCGTTTTATTAAAAAAAAGTCCATCTTTGCCACCTTTATCGTTTCTTAAAGCTCCCGAGGGTAGCTGGTTCCTACAGATAGCAAGCAACTCACCCAGGAGCATGCCTTTAAAATGCAAAGTCACCAATCCAGACCCCACACCCCACCCTGCTCCTCCACGGGGCTCTTGTGCTCTGCGTCACCATCCCCCTGCCCTAATTTCCGGGGATCAGGACCAGAGAACTAGGGACAGCCCCTACGCTCCAGAACCTGCTGAAATTATTCACACTAACCCATCCCAAGCCCGCTCACCCTGCCTTCCCCATTCCTTCCTGTGCAAAGCCCAATAAAATCTCTTGTCTGCTTTTCCCCACTCCCTCTGCCTCCCGACCGACTCTGGTGGGTCCCCGTGTGGCCCTGCATGCCGTGGCAGGCCCCCATCTCTTGGGAGCTCTGAGGAACAGACTCACCGTTCAACGGCGGTCATCTCCGGGTCTCTTGGCCTCGTCGTACCTGAATAATAATAAATCTTATGTTTGCAACACAACCTGAGAAATGCATTCTGCCCAGCGCTGCCCGAGAGTCGCATCCACAGCTGTCCATGGTGTGGGTCGTTTGGACCTGCCTGCAAATCATCTTGGCAGCATATTCCTGCAAAGGCCGCCGCTGGAGATGGGCAGGAGTTTATTAGGTATCTTGACCGGGCCCTAATGACTCAGGGCTCACCCACCGTGCCACAGCCCCACATCCCGAGCCTACAGGAATCCAAGAGGAACCCAACCGCGAATACTGAACCGCGAATACTGAACCGCGACTCCCATTGGTATCACACGCTCTCTTACGACTCCGTTCTTACAAACGTGTATTCTGCTCTGAAAACTGACCTTCGTGTGTTTTCTTCTTCTTCTTCTTCCGCAGTTTTCTCCCCACAACCTGACCGTGTGGCTATAGTGACCGGAGGGACCGACGGAATTGGCTATTCGACGGCCAAGTATCTGGCGAGGCTGGGCATGCACGTTATCATAGGTGATGGTTTTTCCACTTCTGCTTTGTCTGTGTCCTCATCTCCTCTTCTCGTCAGGACCCCAGTCCTGTTGCATCAGGACCCGCCCTCGTGACCTCATTTGACCTCCGTCACCTCCCCAAAGACCCATCTCCACACACAGCCCCATCCTGAGGTCCTGGGGGTCAGGACTCCAACCTGTGAATTTTAGGGAGACATCATTCAGCCCATGCTAGAATCTAAACAGGTTTTTAAAATAGAAGCTTCTTCCACCGCTGTACCCTGTGGACTCTGTATTTTCCGTTCTTCTTTTTGAAAATCTCTTTAATCACTTGTCTTGGTCCCTAACTTCTCTTGGAAAATGAGAAGCTGGGGAAGAGGGGACCGTTCAAAATCTTCCCAGCCAATTGCTTACCTGGCGCGGAAGTTTCACTCAGCTGGCAAAAATGACGTGGAGATTGGCTTTGGGGGAAAACAACAACTTAATGTTTGCTATGCCCACTATTGACACCACCTGCATTTAATTAATAACTTTTATGATGTCTGTTTTTATAAAAAGCATACTACAGGTATCGATTTAGATGTCAAGATTACTTCCACGTAAGACTTTCTAGAACATTACCCAAGGGCATTCATTTATTCATGATCGATTCATATCTTTCTCCCATTTTTCCTCCTTGTTTTGTGCGCCATCATTTATTGAAGGAGATTACGGATCAGACACGACACTTGGGGCTGGGGTTTTTAACACAAGTGCATCTCACTCCTTCCAGCGTCCCGACGAGCTCGGTCCACACCTGGATTTCCTCTTTTCTGGTTTGTGGGCTCCTTGGCATCGGGTGACACCTAAAAATGCCAACTAAAGTCCATAATATTATAAACCAATTATATCAAAATGCAGATGGAAAAATATGTAAGAAAAACACAAACTTGCCACGTAATCGTATACATTCAATCTTTAGACCACAAGGAGTATGGCCTTCTGGTGAGTTGAGTAACTTCTACGATTTGGAGCTACCATGAGCATCAACTCTATTTTGGGTCATCTTCGACAACTCAACCCTGGTATGAACAGATCTGTGGTTTCTGTGGGTGGCCGAGCCATAGATCCTGCTCTTACCTCAGTGTCTTATCCATTCCATTGGCGGTCAACCACAACGATGTTGTCAACTCCTCCCCATGAAAACTCACCGACCCTCTGGGTTCCATGTGGAACCTCCCCAGGGGTGTCTTGACCCAGACAGGGAACCCCAGTTTTGGCCAGTGTGGCCTTCTGCTCTCCTCAGAGGGCTGTGGCTCACATGGGTGCACCCAGCTCTTCGCTCAGTCCAATAACCAAATCGGGCTCCTCTTCTTAAATTTGAATCATGGTTTTATTCTTTTTTGAAAGAGTGTGGTTTCTTACAGTGATTCCTTTCCTCAAATGGGCATCTTTCTCTCATGAATGACGGGGTCTGTAGAATGGCGCCCATGTTTTTGGGAGTTTTCGGAGTAGTAGATCACTTCTGAGTCTGCTTCATTGTTCTTTTTCCCCATCCAAGTGTTCTTTGCTTCAGGAATGTGTCTAAGTCCACTTTCTTCATAGATGTGGAAATGTTAAAAGTTTTTGACAACTCCTAAAATTACCGACGTTATCAGTGCCCTTAACTCCCCCTGGATGAAGATGGGTTGGTTGCAGACAGGGAGGTCCTGTGGGAGAGGGCAACACACCTGAGGGCATATTTCTGGAGCTTCCTATCAACTCTAGCACCTTCATGAGCAAATCAAGGAGATAGGGCATGGGAGCGGTGGGGGCGGGGAAATCTACTTGAGCTAACTCTGAGAGTTACCTGGGAAACTTGGAGATGGTGATGGCTTCCAACCCCCGATTTGGATTTTCCATGTTGGGTTGGGCCTCTGTTGTGGCACAAAAGGCATAATAAACTTTCCACGGTTTTCCATGACTTGCATTTCTGCCAATATTTGGGATGACTTGATCAAAGATATGTCGGCTCTCAAATAGGAAGAGCGATAGGTCTCCTCGGAGGGCCTGCTGGACCTGAGGTAGCAGTGGAAAGATGCTGGGGGAGCAGGATAGGGAGACACCTCCCAGTCTGAGCAAAGGGGGAGGGTTGGCATCTAGTAGTGCTTATTTCTGCACCTGCGACTCCTCCAGCCGAGTGATCTTCTTCATCTTCTTAATTAGTGGCAAAACTAGGCAACGTTGGGATACAAAGAAAAGTCCCATTTCTCTTTTTGCCTCAGTGTCGTGTTTTAGGTTATGATGACGTCTAGATAGTTGAAGTCATGATGAGCTCTAGTTGGGTAGGTCATGAGGAAGTTTAGTTATGTGGTCATGGTGAGGTCTAGTTGGGTAGGTTATGATGAGATCTAGTTGGGTAGGTCCTGAGGAGGTCTACGTGGGTTAGGTCATGGTGAGATCTAGGTGATTTAGGTCATGATGAAGCCTAGTTGGGTTGGTCATGATGATGTCTAGTGTGTTAGGTCGTGATGAGGTCTAGATGGGTTAGATCATGGTGAAGTGTAGTTCAGTTTCGTCATGATGAAGTCTATTTCGGTAGGTCATTATGAGACCTAGTTAGGTAGAGCATGATGAAGTCCAGTTGTGTAGGTCATGATGAAGTCTAGTTGGGTAGGGCATGATATCTAATTGGGTAGGTCTTGATGAGGTGTAGTTGGGTTGGTCATGATGAGGTCTAGGTGGATTAGGTTATGGTCCAGTGTAGTTGAGTTGGGACATCATCAAGTCTATTTTGCTAGGTCGTGATCAGGTCTCGATGGGGTACGTCATGGTCGGGTCTAGTTGAGTTAGGTCATTGTGAAATCTACTTGAGTAGGTCATGATCAAGTCTAGTTGGGTAGTTCATGATGTGGTCTAGTTAGGAAGGTCACAATGAAGTCCAGTTGGGTAGGTCATGATGAACCCTAATGGATAGGGCATGATGATATCTACTTGGGTAGGTCATGATGAAGTCTAGATGGTTTAGGTCATGGTGAGATCTAGTTTAGTTTGGTCAGAATGAAGTCTAGTTGGGTAGGTTAGATGATGTCTCGTAGGTCATGATGAGGTCTAGTTGGTTAGGTGCTGATGAGGTCTAGTTGCATAGGTCATGATGAGTTCTGGTGAGATTGCTGATGATGAGGTGTAATTTCGTAAGTCATGTTGAGGTCTCGATGGGTTAGGTCATAGTGAGGTCTAGTTGACTTAGGTCATGATGATGTTTAGTCGGGTAGATTCAGATGAGATCTAGTTTGGTAGGTCATGGTGAGCTCTAGTTGGGTGTAGTCATCGTGAAGTCTTGTTGGGTAGGTCATGATGATGTCTACTAGGTCATGATCAGCTCTAGTTCGGTAGGTCAGATGATGTGTAGTCTGGTAGGTCATGGTGAGGTCTAGTCAAGTTAGGTCATGATGACCTCTGGTTGGGTAGCTCGTGATGAGGTCTTGTTGGGTATGGCCTGATGAGGTCTAGTTGGGTAGGCCATGATGCAGTCTAGTTGGGTAGATCATGATGAGATCTAGTTAGGTAGGTCATGATGAAGTCTAGTTGGGTATGTCATAATGAGCTGTATTTGATGAGATCTAGTTGGGTAGGTCATGATCAGGTCTAGTTGAGTTAGGTCATGATGAAGTCTAGTTGGGTAGGTCATGATTTTATCTTGTTGGGTAGGTCATCATGAAGTCCAATTGGGTAAGTCATGATGAGGCCTAGGTGGTTAGGTCTTGATCAGATCTAGTTGAGAAGTTCATGATGAAGTCTACTTGTGTAGGTCATGATGAGCTCTATTTGGGTGGGTCTTGATGAGATCTAGTTAGGTCATGATGTGGTCTAGTTGAGTTACGTCATGATATAGTCTAGTTGGGTAGATCATGATGACATGTAGCTGGGTAGGTCATGATTATATCTTGTTG